TTTGGAGCACGGATAATGTTCGGCTTCCTACTCTTTCGCACAATTTCAGCCTGCAGCTTCTTCCTCCTTTTTTACTCAACAATTTCAGCTCCTCATCTATCGACACTGCAACTCAACCATGCAGTGAAAGTTTTTGAGGTCGCCGACTCCTTCGAGTATGGTTCCCACATTCCTCGCTCCTCCTTCGCATCAGACAGCTTGAAGCTTGATAAAACTCCTTCAATTGTGGCTCGTTATTGACGTTGAATCCTTCTTTTCTGCTCACGCTCTTCCCCTCCTTCGACTACAAGGAAACCCTGGCTTGTGCTCGTCTCTCTCACTCTGCAATCTCCTGGTAAGTGAGTTTCGCTTCTGTCATGTTTTTATAGGTGAGCTTGTCACATAAGCTTATGATCCCCTCGTTTCAACTTCTCGAGTGTTCGATTCATCTCTAATTTCTTCGGCTATTCGACCCTCTCAATTCGTCTCCCCTTTGTTTGCTTTCCAACTCCTCGTTTCAACTTCCCCATGATTGACTCTTCAATTCCTCTTGCAACTCATCGTTTCATCCTCCCCCCATGTCACAGAACAGTTACATGACCATTCTTGATAACCTTTGAATAATACAAGTCAGTTACATGCCCATTTAAGGAAAACACATCTCCCTATGTGTGATGGCACCAAGTCAAAATTTTGAGAGAATGTAAACTTTTTTCCGTTGAAAATTGCCAAAATTACAACACTCCAACTATCACATTGGAGGAAAATGAAATAAAACTCATTCTTAAATGACAAAAAATTGTATGTGGCAAAAGTAACTTATGGAAAGAAATACCACCTCACTAGGTTAGAAAGAAAATGTTTTTTTTTCAATAGAGCATAAATCTCTTTAACGAAAATTGAATAAGGACTATATAAATCAATGACTTAAAATGCCTCCTCATGAAAAATCAAATAAACAAAATATCTCTCACTCGCTCCAACAGAAAACAAATGTCCAAAACGTTTCACTTGTTCCTACAACAAATGTCATAATAATTTAGGTGAAATTGTAGGCAGTCCTTTATAATACCCCGCTTAAACCCAAATATTCATTACAAGACAAAATGAAAAATCATTCAATCCACCTCATGTCAATTAAAGCCCAAACAATTTTAAATACCAAATTTTAACCCTATGTCTTATCGAATCAAAAGCCAAAACTTTTTTTAAAAGTATAATCAAGGCAATTAAACCTTTTAGGTGAATTATCCAATGTAGCCTTAGATTCCAAAAAAAATGATAAATTCTCAAATCAATAATTTCTAACAAGAGATTGATCAAACATATAGAAAAAGAAATCTATACTGGCATTGAAAATCAAAGATGTTATTCTTGAAGGGCCCTAATGAATTCAATAATTATGTTGTCAATACTAGACAGTAACATAATAAGTAAAGGATGTTGAAAAGGATTTGATAAAAAATTATATCAAGTCGGTACAAGTGTAAAACTAAAGTATCCCTCGCCCATATTACATGAAAGCTCCAAGCTGACAAAAAGAATACAAGACTAAATAAAATAGGTAACAATCATATGCCCATAAAAAGAATTAACCAACAGGTCCTACAGGTAACAATCATATGTTTTCTTTTAGTTCAACTTAGTTCGAGCTCAAATACACGACTTCGAGATCACTTATAAGAGTAGATAAATAATAATTTCATTCAATACAAGTTATAAATACTTAGAGAAACAGAGTTGCAAAGAAAAGACCAAATAATACATCCAAAACTTAATATGATCCTAAGTAATTCAAATTCAAAATTATTATCATCCAAAAGGGCATATCACACTATTTGAATTCATAATAAATATAAGAAATTCAAAATATTAAAAAAATAATAATAAATGAATTATGTATTAATTCACTTTGTCGAAAAAGAATTTTTCTCCGAAAGGTTTGTAAAATGTAACCAAAATGGAAAGAGTTTTATTGTGATCATTTAATTGGAGAAACAATCACAAAGTATAATTATAAAGAACATGCACAAAATCAGATGAGGATCGAGTGATGGGCAGCTAAAAACTTCATACATTTATTAGATTTTTCAATGTAAACCAAGAAAAAGAGCTCATAATGGTGATAGTGGGGTAAACCCACTCTCTGATAAATGTGTAAACCTATTGTAATCATCTCAATATTATATGTTACAAAAGAAGGTAAAAAATGAAGTAGAATAAAAATCACTGCATGAAGTAGAAGAAGATTATCCAAAACTCTTTGCAATGACTAAATCAACAGAACATGCAAAAAATGTTCTTATGCTCTAAAATATTATTGGGCTTAGTAATTTCATCATAAAAAAATCCTATTTAACCTCTGATAACATCCCTTTTAATCTCAAGCACAATAGTAAACTAAACAATTGCTACCCGCAAGGACAATCATTGTAAGAGTAAAGATCAAAAAGCTTTATCACATGTTGGTGAACCAGAAAATGTTTTAAGATGCACATGGGCTTGCATGGGCTTTGAGGGGAAAAGGCTTCTTTGAAGATGTATGGGTAAGGGTATTACAAAAAAATTTGAAGAGGATAACTCTGAAACCTTTAATGAAAAGATCGAGAAGAATCATTAAAATTCATCCAACATAATCACAACCAATATTATAAAGATATGAACTATGAATCCAAGCAAAAGAATAGAAATCAAAATAATGCACATATGTATATTCATAAGAAAATCTTGTCAACATCGCAAAACACAATCCTAGGAAGCTAATGAGATTTGCGGATATGGTGAATTTATCGTGCGCACATAAAGAAAAAGGATGGTTTATAAACAAAATTTTATGAGGGTCAAGACCAGGTCGAGGAAGGAACAACTAAAGAATTGAAAGACTAGTGATAAGGATATGGTTGATGTGTAAGTTACAAACATTGTAATCAAGAAACAAAGCTATGGTTGTGAGCTTAAAAGTTCTACAAATGCTGATTAATGTGCAAGTTTCAAACAATGCGAGCTCGAACCAAAGCTTTTGTAATGAGTTTACAAGCTCTACAAGTGTTGGTTGATGTGCATATTCCAAACACCGAAAGCCAGAAGCAAACCTATGGTTGTGAGCATCAATAGCATTCCAGAGGAATTAGTTGTTTAAAAGGTAGATGATGAAAAGTCTGCTGCGGACACTGATTGAGGGAAGGATAAAGATACAGGATGAGCAAGGAACAATTGCGAAAATAAAAAATAAAAAAAAAAGACTGTCGAGAATCGCTAAGAGGGCACGAGCAATCAAGGTGCAACGATTGTGGTGAAGTGATGTAATAAGTGGATAAGGGATTAGGATTATAAGAATTGGGTTTCCAGGGCATTTAGGCTTATGGAGAGAAGGTTGGTCGAGTCTTTGATTTTAAATTTTAATTACCAAGGAAATGTAAGTCTAGAGTTATGGTATTATGAGTTTAATGGGTTTGGAATGGTGTTTGACAGGAGAATGGATGGAGACAGTTCTACAGGGTACGAATGTCGACATAAACAAAGGAATAAAGAAAAATTTTGCTTATCTCACCTCAAACTAAAAACAAATTGAGGTATAAGAGAAAGCAAATAGATGACCTCCTTGTACATAAAGCAATCTCCATGCACAACTTATATCAAAAAATAGAGCTCACAATAGACATAAGAATATTTTCATTCATTCAATAAACCAATATAAGCAGTGAGTCCGTATTTATAGTCATTGATCATAAATATCTCAAATTAAAACCTATAATTGCCCAAAAGGATAATTCATCCTAATTTAATTCAAAAAAAAAAACAAATAAAACAATAAGCCTTAATGAATTTGAAATAAATCTTAAAATGCACCAAAATCTAGCTTTAAAGCAATTCATTGTCAAATGGCCTCATTATCGTGATTCTCCTTTGAGTTTCCCTAAATTCTTTTTTTTAACTTCGTAATTATAAAAGCGCATTCTAAATAAACATTGCCAACAACCTCTAAAGTCTAACCAATCATTCAATATTGTTCCCTGCTTGGCAGCGCTGGGGAGGGTGTATAGACGAAAGTTATGTCTAACACATAAATGTTCAGATCCGTATTCACCAAATTATTTTTACCACCCAGTGTGAAACTAAACACTACATGACATGTGCTTTAACAATCACTCTCCATATCAATCATCACCCCTTAAAATAAAACCTTTTTGACGCAATCAAGTGTCATGCACCGCGAGGAAACTCAATCACAGACTCTATAAGGAAGTTGCATGCCTTGAAATTTGCTTGAACATGCATAGTAGAGCAATTAATACTGATGAGAGCTACAATCCACATAAAATAGTCGATCCCAACACAACTAGTAGCTACAATGCAACATTTTAAGCAGTGTAGGCCAAAAGGGCCAAAGCTTGTTCATGATAAACCAATGGTCAAATCTTTATTCAGCATAGAATTTAAAGCATATAGAGAAAGCAAAACACTTGGTAATTCGACACCAACAAATAATTTTAACCTATAAAATGTGGGACAAAATGCAACAATCTCATGTGTATTAACAAGTAGTCGCAAGAACATTGTCATTATTCTCGTGACGTATGCATTGTTTCTCAAACTACTATCTCCACATCTTAGAAAACACAGCTTCTCCATCCCAAAATGCCCACTGTTCTGTTTCATTCTTTACATAACCAATAAACAAACAACATCGAAGTGGATTCCCATCTCTCTAATTGCTAATTTCTCTTTCTCGTTATCTAACAATACAGTGGCCTGAGATGTATTAAGGATGCAAGTACGGTCCACGGCTAAGTCCAAAGTTAGAGCAAAAAAGAGCAATAATAATAATAAGTATACGAACAATATATCTACTTGCACACAGGACTATGGCCTCTAAATAGGAATTAAATGTATTTTGCATCATAATGCACGCAAAATTAGAACAAAAAAAAATAAAAAAAATTGTTGGTGAGTGGAATAAAACCAAAATTGGGGCTAGCAAAAAACATATCATTCAATACTCCAAAAACAGAATAACAAACCTCATCTAAAGTTAAAAGAAGAACATCGCTGAGCTTCAGAAACTGCCCTAGTGCTTTCCGTTGTTCTCTGGTCCCATTAAAAAGAGTTCTTCCCCTAGGGCCAGGGTCAAAAAAAACTGCTGACTGAGCATCTATAGCACAAAACAATGCTGAAACTAATATATTAAGTGAGAGTTCGTCAAATGCATAACCATTGCAGAATAGGATCTTGGATTGTTGGATGGCCTTCTCAACTCGTCCAGATAATTTATTTAACCAGCTGAATGCAGGTTCATCACTAAAATCAGCAACACTGACACATTTAAAATAATTATTAAGAAGCATGTAAAATTGGCCAAATAAATAAAAATCTACTTGAATAAAGTTCAAACAAGTAAGAGATCAGTGTTCTACCTACAAAACCCATGCCTCTGAAAAGGGTCAACTAGAACCCAGCATAGAAGTGTCTCATACATGGCAGCATCTTTAGCAGCTTTAGAATCTTCAGTTAAACCAACCATATCGATCCCCTCTATCTGAAGCACGTCAAGAAGGAAATGTCCATAAACCTCATCCCCTACATGACCAAGGGCGATCACACGAAGCCCTAATCTAGCAGCAGCAATGCCCAAGTTGCAGTTACCACCAGCCTCCCAATATTTCTACCGTGAAACAAAAAAATGTAAAGCAGGTATAAATATCTAGGATGGAGCACAGAAACACAGCTGCCGCACTTAGCACATATGCAAAATAAAAAATCAACTACAACAAACCCGACAGCGTGAAAAAAAATAAAAAGAAAAAAGAGCAAAATTGCATTTGGCGATTTATTTAACTTAAAATTTTTTATTTATTTCAACAACAAAATTCATAGCCCAAAAGAATATGCTCAACAACGATATACAGAAAATGTAATTTTAAGATGTTAAAAGCTGGAATATTCATTGATGACATATCTACAAAGAAATTTTAGTTACTAATTTTTGGCAAAATATGAATTATATTTCCAGACAGGTATTATGCAACAACAATAACCTGAAAATGTAATGTCTTAGAATGTTAAAAGCTATAATATTCACTGATGACATCTACATAGGAACTTCAGTTACCAACTTTTAGGCAATATATGAATATTTTTCTAGACTGGTGTTATGCAAATCATATGAACAAAAACGAGAATCAAGATTTTTTGCTAAGAAAAAGTAGCACAAAAAAATAAAAAACCGAAATTGACGTGCCAACTATTCCAAAGCTAATCAAAGCTAAGACTATACCGAGGAGCAAGAAAACTAAAGAAAGCAGAAACCAATAGCCAATTTGGTGGAAACAGCAAACTGGCATTTCAGATGACGTGGGCGCCAAAGCCGCGCCCGGGTGCGAGCACTGATAGCACCCCGAAGCGGGGCACTTCAAACCGCAGGGCTATGACCCCTCCTGGCATGGCAGAAGCGAAAGCGGTGGGATCGCAAAATCTCGCAAGGGATCGCGAGAGCAGGAGATCCCATGCGATGCCCGGATGGATTGCACGAACTATTGCGTGGGAGCCAAAGTCGCGCCCAGGAGCGGAGCGGTATGTCACAGACAAATAGTCCCACATCGACTAGGTGTAGGGCCGAAAAATAATATTTAAGTCCTGGGCTGTCCACCACCCTAAAGAGCTCTTTTGGGAGATGACAAGTGGTATGAGAGTTGATTGTTGCCTTGCAAGTGTGTGGCCTCTCCATGGTCCAGTGGGACCCTCGGTGGAGCCGATCCATGACAAGAGCGTCACGTGATTGGGTGGAGGAGAATGTCACGGACATCGGCTAGGTGTAGGGCCGAAAAGCAGTATTTAAGTCCTGGGTTGCCCACCACCCACAAGGGCTCTTTTGGGAGGTGACAAGTGGTATCAGAGCAGATTACTGTCTGCCAGTTGTGTGGACTCTCCATGGTCCAGTGGGACCCTCGGTGGAGCCGATCCGTGACGAGGGCGTCACGTGATTAGGTGGAGGAAAATGTCACGGACAAATAATCCGACATTGGCTAGATGTAGGGCCGAAAAGCAGTATTTAAGTCCTGGGCTGCCCACCTCTCTTAAGGGCTCTTTTGAAAGGTGATAGGGCGCTTCAAACCTTAGGGTTGTGACCACGCTTGGCATCACAGAAGGGGGAGAGGTGGGATCACAAAATCACGCGAGGGAACGCGAGAGCAGGAGATCCCATGTGATGCCCGGATGGATTGCACGAACTATTGTGATCCATCTAGGGCATCACGAATATGCTATAAGGAGTGTTTTCTAGATTTTTCTTGGCTTCCCACTCTTTCTTTTGTGTTGAAACTTCCTCAGTCCGACGGGAATCCTATAAATTATCATCACCTGTGTGTGTAGAGTTAGTTCTAGTGGAGTGGTCTTTTGATCTTTTGCGAAGAATCTCTTCCCGCTTGTCAGGGTAGCATCCGACGACATGTGGTGCTTCGGATGTATTTTGCTCCGAGGTAATGTTATAAACATCCAATCTATTTCGCTTATTCTTCTAATCCTTCTCCTACCACTCCCCTTAGCCATCTACCACCCCATATTCCTCAACCACTCTGTCGCCACCTCTACATTCATCCACGACCTCGTCGTCCAGTCTTCCTACAACGAACCAAACACCATCCCAACTTACCCAGACAACCACCTATTCCCTAGCACCCCGCCGACGCCACTACCGCCTTCGAACATCTTCCTACATCTCTAATTGGAGATTCGTCCCTCATTATAATTCCTTTCTATTTGACTCGTGTTGTAATCCTATTTCTATATTAACAAAAGTTTACTTTTGTATTCCACTATTTTTTTTCTACTAGTCTCGATATCATTTGGTATTAGAGCTAGCCCAACCATAATATTATCATAGGGTTTCCCAGCATCTGCCCCTACCCAACTCGACTCCTTCAAATTTTTTTTTCTTTTGATTTCCAACCCTAGTCATGCCACCACGGAGAGATAAACCGGACTAGACCGGGGTCATATTCAACTAGAAATTTGTCGTCTGCAATGGAGACAAGCAGAGCTAGATGACAGAAACCAAGAAGAGATTACCTTCGATCGTTATCGGGAGAGTCGAAGGGAAGACAGGGCGGAAGAGATTAATCCGTTCCATAGGGAAGATCACAGCAACAAAGAATATCGATCGCGTCGTTTTGGTATTAAATATCAAAGGAGGCCTAGAGAAGAAGCCTCTTATGGAAATCAGTGTACCTTTGGCATCAAGATGGACCTTCCAGAGTTTGAGGCATGGACCCCGGTGAGTTTATCGACTGACTGCAATCAGTCGAACGGATCTTCAAAAGCTGCAATTAAATTAAAGAAGAATGTCTTTGTATAGTGGAAAAATCTACAAAAGTAAATAAGGAGAAATGGAAGTGAGAAGATAACTAAGTGGGAGAAGATGAAGGCAATGCAAAAGAAATACCTCCGACCGCAATATCGTCAGGACATGTTCCTAAAACTCCACAGCTTGCAACAATGAGATCTTTCAGTTGAAGAGTTCACAGCCCAGTTCAACCACTTGCAGCTAAAGTGCGAGCTGACAGAGACAGAAGAGCACACGATAACGAGATACCTTGGGGGTCTAAAGCCCGCCATTAGCAATGTGGTACAGCTACAACCATATTGGAATTTGAATGATGTGCACACACTAGCCCTAAAGGTGGAGATGCAACAAAAGCAAAGCAGGCAATAGAAGTGCTTCAGACCACCATCATCAGCCATGCAATCACCTGCAACTTCTACAACCGACAAGAGTACCTTGGGAGAAAATAACATAGTTGTACAAAGATCTGATAAGGTAGATTAGAATGGGAAGAAGCCAAAGAAAGGTGGTTCCTCCAATACAGTGTCAGCTAGAAAGTGTTTCAGGTGTCACGGCTACGGTCACATAGCCTCCAACTGCCAAACAAACCGAGTCATCACACTCACAGAACAAGGCGTTGTCGAGGAAATCGATGAGGAATCAATGGGGACTCCATAAGAACTCCAGCTCCACAAAGATGGAGACGCATAAGTCGTTCGGCGAATACTGCAGTCCGAACCAGAGCGGGATCAATCCTGGTTAACGCATAGCATTTTTCGCACCAAGTACAGCATCAAGGGGAAGGTCTGCAACCTGATCATCGACAATGAGAGCTGCGAGAACGTGGTGTCCATGCTCCTGGTGAGAAAGTTAGGATTGAACACACAAAAGCATCCCCAGTCATATTCCCTTGCCTGGCTGAAGCAGGGAAACGAGATGTAGATTAACCGTGCATAGTAGATTTTTCCATTGGAGATCAGCTACACGAACAAGCATGGTGCAACATGATTCCTATGGACGCTTGCCACATTTTGTTAGGAAGGCCTTGGCAGTTTGATCGCAAGACTCAACACGACAGGTTCAAGAACACTTATTCTTTCAAGAAAGACAGAAAACGTATCGTTTTACCACCTGCTAAGGATGAAAAAGGCGGGAACAATACAGAAGCAGCCTTAGTTCCTCGTGCCACTATCTTGCAATCAGCTAAAGATACCCCTGTAAGACTAGCATTAGTCCTGGAAAGAAGCGAGGAGGAAAGAGAGGTATCAACACTACTGCAACAATTGCTACAGGACTTTCAAGATTTTAGGACTGAGAGCTTACCAGAGGGATTACTGCCAGTACAAGATATCCAACACAATAGACCTTATACCAAAATATGTATTGCCAAACCAATCAGCTTTCAGATTAAGATAAACAGTGTATGAAGAACTACAGCAGCAAGTGCAGGATTTCGTTGCTTGGTCAGTGAAACCACCAGCCCGTTTGCAGTCCCTGCCCTGATGGTGTCCAAAAAGGGTGGATCATGGTGACTGAGCATCGACAACAAAGTCATAAACAAGATTAACATCAATACTGATTTCTCATACCCGGCTTGGATGATCTTTTAGACCAGCTACATAGGGCAACTATTTCCTCCAAGATAAATTTGTGCAACGGATATCACTATATATGAATGAGGCTAAGAGATGAGTGGAAGACAGCCTTCAAGATGCGAGACGGACTTTATGAGTGAGTCATTATGACTTTCAATCTGTCGAATGCACCCAACACTTTCATGAGATTAATGAACCAAATATTCTGACATTACATTGGAAAGTTTGTCGTTGTATACTTTGACAACATTCTCGTATACAGCCAGTCAGAGGAGAATCACTTGCATCAGCTGAAAGCAGTATTCGAAGTACTGCGAGCCGAGCAACTATATGTTACTCCGAAAAAATGTTACTTCATGACAAGTTAGGTATGTTTTATAGGTTATATCGTGTCTAGTGCAGACATTCGGATCGATCCCATAAAAATAGAGACCATTATAAGCTGGATTGTACCACAATCATTCACCGTGCGGAGGCGATTTTTGGGATTGGCGTCCTATCGAAAATTCAACAAAAACATCAACACTGACCTCCCCTCTGACTAAACTTCTGAAGGAGGAGTTTGCTTGGACAGCAGCAGCCTAGGAAATTTTTGAAACACTAAAAGAAAAGTTGACTTAGGCACCCTTGCTAGCACTACCGACTTCAACCAACCTTTTGAGGTAGAATGTGATGTCTTTGGTGTAGGGATCGGAGCATTACTAAGTCAGGGAGGACCCCCCATTACTTTCTTCAGTCACAAATTGAATGAGTCCAAGAGGAAATACTCAACCTACAACAAAGAATTCTACGCCATCGTAAGAGCTATAAAATATTGGAGTCATCACCTATTGACAAACGAGTTTACATTATTTACAGATTACGAGGCCCTAAATTTCCTCAACAGCCAAAGCAAACTTAAGGGATGACATGCCACATGGGTGGAATTTCTAGCATCATTCCAGTTCGTGCTAAAACACAAGGCGGGAAACCAGAACTGCGTAGCATATGCACTGAGTCATCGACACCTATTGATCACATCCATGCAGGCTCAAGTTGTGGGTTTCAAGGTCATAAATAATCTACATGAAATAAACGAAGATTTTAAAAACAAATGGGAGCGCAGCAGAGCAATATTACCACACAGATGGATACCTATCCAACCAGGGTCAGTTGTGCATTCTCCGGTATTCACTAAGAGAGTCATTGTCCAGCAAGGCCAGAACGGAGGACTAGCAGGTCATTTCGGTGGGGACAAGACCCACGCCCTCGTAACGAGGCCTTTTTTTTTTTTTTTTTTTTGCCAAAGCTAACAAAAGATGTAGAACGACGTGTCAAGCAATGCAGGATTTGTCATCTGACTAAGACGGCTAGCGGATTATACACACGACTTCCGGTACCAGAGGCACCGTGGTTGGACATCAGCATGGATTTCGTGCTAAGACTTATAAGGACTCAAAGGAACAAGGACTCTGTAATGGTTCTAGAAGACAGATTCTCCAAGATGACCTACTATGTACCCTGTCATCAAATACTAGACACCTATCATATTGTCGTTTTATACTTCAGAGAGATTGTAAGGCTGCAAGGAATTCCCAAGGCCATCACCTCCGACAGAGACGCCAAATTCATGAGCCACTGCTGGAGAACACTATGGGGAAAGCTCGTCACCAAACTCCAATTCAGCTCGGTTGCTCGGTAGCGCA